CAAAATTTATAGAAATATAATAGTAAAATTCTGCATTATTAGTCACAATAGTAAAAATTAAATCAATATAAAAAGATTTAAAACACCCAAAGCTGTTCACAGAAAGAAATACTTTTAAATATTTTCATTATTAAAATAGAAAACAAGCAATTATTATATATTATTTATTTAATAAATAAAATACATTTTAAAATGAAAATTACTTTAAAAAATTAAAAAATTAGGATGCAGTGACTCACATGGGTAATCTCAGCAGTTTGGGAGGTGGAGGTGGGAGGGTTCCTGGGGGAGCCCAGGAGTTTGAGACCAGCCTGGGCAACATTACAAAACCGTGTCTCCACTAAAAATACAAAAATTCACTGAGTGTGTTAGCATACACCTGTAGTCCCAGCTGGAGGAGGCTGAGGTGGGAGGATTGCTTGAGACTGGGAAGGTTGAGACTGCAGTGTGTAGTGATTGCAACACTGTACTCCAGCCTGGATGACAGAGCAAACACTGTTTCAAAAAAAAAAAAAAAATTAGAGTTCAGAACAAGAATAAAATTAAATTTATCTTAATGTTAGTTTTTAAAAGGACAAAATAATATAAACTATTGCAATATAATTAAAATTTTATACAATTAGAAGTGAGTACAAACTGATAAATAACTTTTTCATGCAAAAGCAAATGGTATGTGTGATTATATATGAATTAATATGTATTTATCATTATAAAATGAAAATGACTGAGAAAGAAATTAAATTTTAAAGAACTATTCTAATCAAAACTTCTAAAAAGTTCCAATGATTTTATTGACAAATTATGCTAAACTTCTAATAAGCAGGTACTACATATGGTATATAAACTATTCATCACATTAAATAATGAAGAGGTTTAAATTAATTCTCAAAAGCAAACAAGGCAGATTCTATAACTTGACAATGTTTGCCTCAAACCAAAAACAATGGACCAATATCATTTTGGAAAACAGATGTAAACAAACAAATAATTTAATAGAAAATACAATTTAGTGACATACAAATAACATCCCAGCTGCATTACATAGTGTTTACATTTTAAAAAAGTGACAGAGCTCTGTTATTATAATGCACTATAACAACAATATTTCAATAGCATGGTCATAACACTGATTACTTACTGAGTGACTAATAAATGCCATAGAACTATGATAAGCATTTAAATACACTCAGTTAATCCTAAAAGTAATCCTATGAAGTAATAAGATAACAGCCATTTTACAGAAGAAGATACTGCCGCTTAGAGAGTGAACATAATTCTTTCTTCACTCAATGTGTAAATGACTGCACCAGGTTCTTTCCCGGGCCTTCTCCAGAGTTCATACTTGTAAAGTGTGTGCTCTACTGCCTTCCCGCAAACACCACAAAGGTATTTGATTAAGTGTGTACTCATATTTAACAAAAACCCAAAAATAGAAAAATATGGACAATATATCTATTTTGTAAATAGGTAGCCAATTAAAATGAATAGCAAAATATTTATAATGTCCACATGAATCAGGGACATCAAACTGATACATTTAGTAATGCACAAGCAATGCACTTAGAGATTGAAAGGCAGAAATAAATAACAGCCTTTTGTAATAAACAGTGAAACAGATACAAATCATTACATATATAATCTCAAGTTAAACAATAACTAGACCTCAAATAAGAGGACTTGATGGCACCATTTCTCACACATCATTCATCTTAAAATCACTTTGTAATTGGGGTGACCACGTATTAGTTAAGTGTGTTTATACAAAGGTCACATAAACATACCTTTTTTATAGGAGACATCTTTGCAAAAACAAGAAAATATATATACATAATCATGATATTTGCTTATTATTTTTAAAATCCTTGTAAAAGCAAAAATGCATGATTACTTGAGAGCATAGAGATTCAAGCCTGCCTCAAATCTTACCCCAAGTTTAAGAAAGAATCACTTCCACAGAACAGTTTAGTCTGACAACAATATCAGAATAAAGTTGTTTCCCTAGAGCTTTCCAAATCATTTTGTGCTGTTAAAAGGTTCTATAACCTAAAACAATTCCAGAATATTTTGGTACTTTATGATTACATAGAATATAGGTTCTTCCACGTTGACAATCATTTTACATCTATTATTTCAATGAATCAACACATAACTAATGTACTGACTGAAAATCATACTGATTTTGATAAATTAGAGAATTGAAATGTTAACAAGCCCACCCACAGTTAAGAAACTGCTGATGTGGGGTAGATCCACTACTGCTATTATCTAGTTTCCATGTGTTAGCTTCTAACACCAACCTTCCAAGAGGTTATTTCCCAGAACTCAAGTCACCAAAATCACATTCTTCACCAAGGTTTTTCTAATAGTTCCACATTTTCTCCCCTCCCCTCCCCTCCCCTCCCCCCACCTCCTGTCCCCTCCCCTCCTCCCTCCCTTTCCCTCCCCTCCCTCCCTCTATCCTCCCTCCTTCCCTTCCTTCCTCCCTTCCTTCCTTCCTTCTTTCCTCAGTGCTCCCTTTCTTTTACATCAACATTTAGTTGTCTTTATTGTATGAGTCACCTCTATTTCTTTGGATAGAACTGAGCACATTGCTTCGCATAATAGCTGTGGAAAAAAAAAGAATAATAAAAATAACAATTTTACTAATTTATATGATACCATAAATAATAAGAATAAAATCTCATGTACTGATAAATTTATGTTCACATCAGAATGTGAATGCAGGGATTTTCTTGTGTCCAGTCTCAAATCCTTGAAGCTTAGGGCCACAGTGGACCTAGTAGAAAAAAAGCATTTGACCAAATGAACATTGGTACTCTGTTAAGAATTTTACATAGATTATGTAATTTAATTTAAAAAGTATCTATATAATGTATTTATTATCTTCATGGTATAGATATTTCAGGTTCAGTAATTTGCCTAAGGCCACAGTTTTCCCGAGAGACAGAATTTGGATTCAAACTGCTGTTCATCTTAATGCATAAGTTTAACCTCTAGGTAAGTTTGTGCTGTGTGTAGTAAAGCCTGGCATTAGCTAGTAACGTTTATGTTTTAAAGTAGTACACTATATGAGTGCCTTTATGGGGAGCACCTTCTGTGACTTTTCTCTCTTTGTTCCCTGTACCCACAGTTGCTATCTAGCCAGCTGTTGTGAATTGACATCAGCTGTCAGCCTCCTAGCTTGTTTTGCTTAAGGTAGCCTCTCAACAGGATAACAGGAAAATAAGGGGAGGTGAGAGGGAATAGAACCACATTAGCTACCAAGGTCTCTGTTAGTGACCACGTCCTTGCATACCTTCTCTTCTTCCTCTGATCTAGTGCTTTTCCTGTTTTTTGCTTCCTGGAAAACTATTTATCCTGCAACCCAGGGTTTCTACTAGGAACTGACCAATTTTCTAGATCTGCATCTAGCATCCTCTTTATTCTCCTTCATTCTCTCAGACTCGACATTCCTACAGCCCTAATCTTTGCTTCTGTGAGCACTTCACTTTTTTCCTTTGTTGTAACTATTCTCCTGGCCATTCAACCTGCTGCTGTATGCACTTGCATATGACAGTCACATTTCTTGCTCCCCAAGACATTTACTCTTGTCATTAGCATTGCCACTGCTCAAAATCTTCCACAACACTTCCCCCATGGGTGGAAGGATATTTTGGGAATGCCAGCTGGTGATTAAGATGCAAACTTGATCTCACAGCAAGGTGAATAGGAATGCCGTATATTAAGCACATTTCCACAGGGCTCTAGTGGTCATGCCCACTTTCCCTGGTATCTCTCTTTTGCCACTCTGTGCCTGTCCCCCCCTTCCCTCAGGTCTATAATCTCTGTCATTTTCACCTTCAGCAACAGGATGTGGCCCCATAGGGAGTTTGCCTCATAGATCGAAGGCTTGTGAATGTGAAGTAAAAGAGAGGCCTGAAGATTGCTGATAAACTTGCTTTATATTAGAAAAAATACCCTGGAAATGTCTGCTTTTCCTAAAGCTTCAACTGCTTGTTGTACATGACGGGCATTTGCACTGTGAGACCGCAGTATCATGAACAGATGGTGTGTAGCACCACTCTTGGTCATGAGGGATGGTTTTCTAACAAAAGAGATTTTATTCTCCCCTGTATTTCTCTTGCATATTGCAGGCTTCCCGCCCCCCACCCCACTTATCCTTTCCTTTTATTTTTTTCTTGGACAACATATATTGCCTTGGCCACAGCTTCATGGCATTTTGCTCATTGATCAGCATTAGCTCAGAACTAACAATAAATCTCTTTTCATTTCCCCCCACTGGGATGCATTAGGGTTATGGCCTTGGAAAGTAAGTCACACCAGCTGGGTTATCTCTGTTTTCTGTGCCTCTGGTGGCAGGGTGTCATCATGAGGATGCATTTATGAATCCCAGAATTGTTATTCAGGTTTTTTTTTTCCACCAGACTGTGCCTTGTAGTACCACGGAGCAGGTGTGTCACTCTACAGCAGTGATTATAGAGAAGGAAGCCACAGCTATGACCTTTGAGGTTGAATGAGCTAGAATAGTATTTAGTTTTATGGAGAATGTTTCATGCTTAAGATTCCTCAAAGAGCTTTAAATATAATGAGTTCAGCATTGATAGTCCAGAAACTGTGAAAGCAAATAAAGTAGCCTCCCAAAATTTAAATGCATTTTACCTGTAACTGGTGATTTTAGAAGGTATTTCTACAATTTTACTTACTTGTAGAGAGAGATTATCTTCTGAGATCCTCTAGTTATCTGTTTTCTGACAAGTACTAAAGAATTTATTAATTTTCCAAACATAGTTTATATAGAGTAAGATTACTACATATCCATGTAACAATGCAGTCAGCTGATTTCTAAAAAGCCTGTGTGAACCTCCATCCCAAACAATGGGAGCCAGCATCTCTTAGCCTTTACCCAGGAATACTGTGCTTCAGACTTCATGGAACAGCTGGCATTGCTAGTGTTTTGTTGTTGTTGTTGTTGGTTTGTTTGTTTTTTAGAGGGAGTTGGGAAGAGCTTTCTGATAAAAACTGGAAAACCTGCTAGATAAATTCTAAAAAAAACTTGTAACACTGGCATTGCTAGATTTTAAGCTTATTTATACTTTGCTCACAACACAGACGTAGCAATAATGATCGTTTCTATGATTTTAGTCATCATAGTATAGAGATTTTATTGTTTTCTAGCTTATTGGGAGTCTTAGGGTTAAGTGACATCAAAATCCAAATGCAGTTTTGTGGCCCAATTTGAAAAATCCTCCAAAGACTTGAGCTTCAGCTCTCTCTCCTCTGGGTCACTTTCTGTTCCTTTTCTCTCCTCCCCTATCTCCACTACTTAGTACTGTTCTCCACATTACAGCCAAATGGACAGAATGGGGCATGGAGAGCAGGAGAAACCATATACTTCTTTCTTTTTTGTTTCCTTACGTTTTGTTTGTTTGATTTTGTTTTTGATACAGAGTCTTGCTCTGTTGCCCAGGCTGGAGGGCAATGGGCAGCTCACTACAACCTCTGGCCCACAGGCTCAAGTATATTCTCCTGCCTCCGTCTCCCAAATAGCTGGGATTATAGGCATGGGCTACTACACCCAGCTGAGTTTTGTGTTTTTAGTAAAGAAAAGGTTTTACCATGTGGGCCAGACTGGCCTCAAACTCCTGACCTCAGGTGATCTGCCCACTTTGGCCTCCCAAAGTGCTGGAATTACAACTGTGAGTCACCATGCCCAGCCTGAAACAATATATTTCTTTAAACAGGAATAAAAACTTTCAGAATAATTATCATGATAATTAATTGATCTTTTGGTTGCTTTGAGTATTAAAGAATCAGTGAATTGAAAATTTGGTTAGGCTGGGCTTGGCAGCTCATGCTTGTAATCCTAGCACCTTGAGAGGCTGAGGTGAGAGGATCTCTTGAGCCCAACAGATCGAGACTAGTCTGTGCAGCATAGGGAGACTCCTCATCTCTACAAAATAAATAAATAAAATAAAATAAATTAAATGGAGAGAATTGCCATAGTTGGCAGATAAAATTGCAGGACACCCAGAAAAAAAATTTGATTTTAAAGCTCTCAGTTTCTATTTATTATGCATATTAAATGGGCATGACCTAATATACATACTATGCTGCATTTATATATTATGAGTCACAATTGTAGGATGTAGGAGAAATTGTGGAAATACTTGTTGTACTCCAGGATAAATCTTGGTTTTTGGCACTTTGGGGGTAGTTGAGACATCCTAAAGCAAAATAAACATAGTGCTAATTAGTTGTCTTGGTAGAGAAAGGAAATGGTTCTGATCATCTAAACCAATATGTTGTATGCTCTTAATTCCCATTCAACTTTGGAATGCCTGAGAGAATATTTTAATTACAGATTTTTATTTTTAGAAATGTTTTTCTTGAACAAACAATGAAATTAGTTTGTATTATATCAGTAAACGTCAAGTGACCACAGGGACTGACCCAGCTTAGCATTACATTTTTGTGGCAGATAAACCCATGTATGCAAGTGAGTTTTGATACTACACAAATAAATGAGGATTATATATAAAGAACATATTCAGGGAAAGCACATTTTTAGAATGGGGACGTAGGGGAATAGCAAGGAGAAAAGCCAGAGACAAAGAAAGTTGTCAGTATCTCCTTAATATATCTGGGAAGACTTCATGGAGGCAGAAAAGAAATAAAAATCATCATGTGTCTGATTTTCTTCATTTCCCTCATGGAATAATGAAGTCAAGGCCTACACCAGCATGACTTTTGGGAAGGTTGGTAACCAGAAGATCTAAGAATCTTTGTGTTGCTAAGTTTGCTGTTGTCAGCACCCTATGATATGAGCTCTAATTCAGCAGTTGGATATGCTGCAGAATTTGTTCCTTAAAGGAATGGCAGCCACCAAACATCTCAAAATTAAATTACAGAAGCTGGGAGGTTTATAAAGCCTGTTAAAGTAGGCTTGGAAAGCTGAAGACAGGCAAATAGGAAGCTAGAAGAGATTTTTATCACAAGAATTAAAAAGGAAATATGACAGAATGCCAGCTCCATCTTTCCTACTGTGTGACAGAGAGTGCCTGAGTTTGCAAAATGAAAGATCGAGAAAGATATCCCAGAATTTCTCATTTTTTAATCCTATGTGTGAACTGAGCTTTTTGCTGATTTATAATCGTTCCTATAACTGCCTTTCCTCTTCTATTTCCTATAAAATTGCATTATGAACACCTGTCATATCAATTAAATTAAAGGAAAAAATGTTAATGAATGTCTCTACCATCCTTCTAGAGTCTCAAGCCAGAAAACTTGAAAATCATTATTAAATACTTCCTACTCCTTCCTAGATGCTCTCGTGATGTTCAGTTGATCTAGCCAACTAAGATATGAAATATTTAAGATCAGTGGAAAACTTTATAAAAGAGGCAAATACTTAAAGGATTAGAATGTAAGTTACACACACACACACACACACACACACACAAACACACTTATACCACTGCTCATTTATTTTTCTGTCACATTCCTTTTCTCCCTAACTTTTCCCACTAATTAAGATTTTGTGTTTCAGAATTGAGTTCAGCCAAATTGAAGTTTTCCTGTAGCGACTATGAGAATTTTCTCAAATTTTTTGTGGAGGTTATCCAGCACAGAGTATTTTTATTTTATTTTCTATCCACTAACCACGGACTATAGGAAATTTCATTCCATTAAATTTCATCTCTGGAAAATGAACATCTTGATGATAGAAGCTGATTCTGGCAAAATTCACACACGCACAGCAGAACCTGATGCGACCGAAAGATTCAGTACATCCTACTCAATATGCCTCCTTGGCAACAATTGTAGGCTATCTTCATTTCACAGCCAAAATGGGCTTTGCTTTGCCAATTGAGGACAGGCCATGAAGTAATAGGAAGAGGACAGGGAATGAAGGCAAAAGAACTGGGTTTCACCCCAGCTTTGTTTACTAGCTTGGGAATTTCTGAGCAAATTACTGAATCTCATCTGGTCTCAGTTTCCTCACAAGTAAAATAGGTCTAATAATAGCTATTTCATACAATATGTCATTACTTTGTGTACAGTGAAACACTAGACAAAGTCTTGTAATTAGCATTATTAATAGAAGTAATAAATCTATAGTTTTTTTATAGCGTTGAAATAATCTGAGCTAAATATTATTTTTCTCTATTCAGCAGACCAAGAGTCTTATAAATATGGAGAGAAGTGACTTCTGGTGTGTGTCCTTGATGTTTGACAAAATGGGAAAAAATGCAACCAAATAGATTAGTTTTAAAATACAGTGTGCTGACACAGAGATGAGATTCTAAATCTATTTTCCACATTTTAGCTGAAAATGCTTTACCTGCCAGAATTGGTATTGGCCAAGACTTCAAAAGCTTTCCAAACAGTAATTACTACAGTAAAAGTAAGTAGGCTACAAGAAAACAAATAGGAGAGATCCAGATTTTTCTGCTGTTTAGCAGATGAGGAAAAGTGGTAAAGGGATATTGTTAAATAACTTGGATATAGCCTAAAATGTAATATCAATCACTGTTTTTTTAATAAAAAGAAATAAAACTGCTTTAAGTATATACTATGCAGGATTATTCTTCCAAGTACTTAGTTTGCCACATATTATGCCAAATAAAAAGAAATCTAAAACTTGAACTCTAAGCTTACAGTTTACAACATTTAGTATGCTTACAGCTACAACAAGGAGAGAAAGAAAGCCTATGTTCTTACAAAGTTAATTAGTAATGGAAAGTTCTGTAGACCTAAACATTCAATGAAAGAGATTTCAGTAGTAGAAGAGAGCTTATCTCTGATGTAGGTTCTGACACAAACTTGTGTCAAAGTTTTGTGCAAACTGTGGACTAATTTCTTCATCTCCTTTCCTTCATCTATTTGATGGAACCTCATGTAGTTCTACAATTCCATGATCCGAAATAGTAACATTCATAATATGATAATGATATTAATGTTTCCTATCGGAGGAGATTGTGTTGATGTTAGAAATAGCCTCACAGAACAGGTAAAATGTAAGCAGTTCCTTAAAAAACAAATAGGATTATTCTAGACAGGAGTTAGAAAAACAATCTCAAGAAAAATTATACACTGTCTATAGGACACAGAAGGGGTATTCTAGAAACAATAAAACTACTGATGAATACAGACATTCAGTTTAAAAAATCGCAAGAAAGTTTGGAAATTAAATTGGGACCAGAAATCAGAAGTTTTGCATGACCAATTCAGGAGTTTGAACTTTATGTTGTATGCAATGGAAAGACAATGCCATTTGCTGAACACTCTAAATCTCCCTCACAGATCTACTGCCTCATACAACTTCATCAAGCATACGTGGATGGCTTTCAAACACTTGCCTTCAAGAAAGACTATTTCTTGAAGTGAAAATAACAAATCTATGGTTTTAATTGCTTTTTGAACATCAACTTAAGCATCTTGATCTCAGCAAGTCCTAGACATAGTTTCTTTAAGCATAGTGTAAGAGCTTCATTGTGTAGTTTAATGAGTTTGTGACATTTGCATTTGAGTGTTGAAGGGTGAAATTGGAAATTGACAGATGGAAATAGAGCAAAAAAGTGTCTTTATGGAGGAACAACAAGAGCAAAGGAATGGAACCACAAAACATCAAAGAATGTTAGGTGAGTGATGAGTTGTTGTGTTGTACATGGATGTACTAGGAATGTGCATGTGACTGCAGTCCTCAGACTGGACCTGCTTTGATGCACAAATAAAAGAATAAAAGACAAGTTACAGAGTAACTGCCACTTAAATTAATTTAAGGGGATAACTGTTGAAGGAAATGAATTTTTTAAATAATACATATAAGCAATCAGACAACTCCAGGTACTGACAGAATGTAAGTGGCAGCCAAAAAAAGAGAAAATATATTTGCTGCAAGATGTGCAACTTGTGCACTGAGAGCTTCAGATTCAAGTTACAGATACAATAAGGAGAATTTTGATAAAGGGATGAGCTCTGTCCTCCTCTTTCAGAGTAGTCAGACTAAGGCAGCAATATCTTGCAGAAGTGAATTATATTATATGCAAATTTTTAAAATATAT